TAACTTACACCCCCGGGGTGTACAGAATATGTTACACCCCCTGGTGTACGCAAATAATCGTACACCCCCGGGTGTATCTTTTATCGTACACCCCGGGGGTGTACGAATTTGCCGTACACCCGGGGTGTAAGTTAAGGACACCCTATTATTATACAACAGCAACTAACAAAATAAAACTGAAACTTTGTCATTAGCAATGTGAAGTGTAATATGGGGCATGCTGCAACAAAACCAGACAAAGTAAACATTTAACATCACTCATGATTATTTCTTATGACTTAACATTCTTTTTTTCAGCACTAAAAATACTGTCAATGCCGTTACTGTCATAGTTACCAACACAGTAGGAATCAATCACATTGGTGATATCTGACTTGAATTGTTTTCAATTTGTTCTAAGTCCTTGGTTTTACCTCAGATTTTGGCATATTCTTGGAGATTGTTGAGTTTTTCAGCTAATCTATCATTTTCCATCGTTCCTACAGCTTTATTATTCTTAGCTGGTCTACTTCCATCTCACATTCTTGTTAATTTATATTGAGGAAACAGTATTAGTATACCAATAAATTCTGATTATGGGTAAGGATGGTCAGAAGGTAATTCAGATTCTTCTTTAAATATTTTTACTGCCTCTTTGCCAATAAGAAATTCTAATTGAAAATCATGGCAAGCATTTTGCTCTTCCATCTTTTCCATCAGTTCTTTTGCCATTTTGCCAATTTCATTTCAAGTTTCTTGATCAATGGCATTAATGTTATTTGGCAATTTGGCTTTGGTGAAGATGAGTATAATTTCCTACTAGACTTTCCCAGGTGAAGGTAGGCATTTCTTTGCCATTGTTGTCACATAATTTAGCAATTAACTTGCTTTTTTCTGCAATGACTTTGTTGGAATTAGGTTGTAAGGAAGCTCAAATTTTCTCTTTATTTTCAGCAAAGTTTTGGCCTGTGGCATATTTCATATCATATGGCACCATCAGAGAACCAAAATCCTTTTTATACTTTGGCACTACTTGCATATAAAAATGAGGGGGCATATTTTGTGCAGCTAGCTCCCCATTTGGGATACTAATTCAATACCCAACAGGAGTTGGTTTATTTGCTTTTTTGAGATACACTTCGATTTTAGCAATACTATCTTTGAGCACTGGCAAAATATCTGCTCATTCTTGGGTAGTTAAGGTGCATAAGTCTTCAGTGTGACGTTTGGTCATGATCACCATATGGTATTTGGAGTTGGGTCAGTGATTGACAGAAGAAAAAACTGTTCCTCCATCTGTTAATAGAGATCTAAGTTGACCTTTCTCTAGCAGAACACTGAGTTTAGCACAAGAGATGCATTTTTTTTCTGGCATAGTAATAAATTAATTTTTATAGGAATGGATATCATTGTTGGAAGAAGCACATGTTCTCCAAAGAAACTACTAGCAACTATTAAAATCAAAATGATTTGCTGTTATTTATTATTATTCATTTGCGCTGCGTACCAATGGTTTTGGGCAAGTAATATCTTTAAATTCATCTCAGACAAAGTGGCGAATATAATTATAGAGATATTCTTGTCATTCATATTTCATCAGAGGAGGCACCAGCACTGGAAATGATAACGCTTTAATTTTTTCTATGACTTTTGAAGTCTCAAATTGACTAGTTTTTATTAACTTGAATTCCTGGAAAGGACCGTTCACAGTTTTTTGAGTTTTGACTATGCTGGGATTAATATTGGTGAAAAGGAAGTGCTGAAATTTTTGCATGCCCGGCAGTTTCATGAAGTAGGCTGCCAAACTGCTTAAAATATCATAATATTGAAAACCCTCTTTATCATTATAACGCCGCGCTTTGTTTAGTCCGGCAATGCTGGACCTTTTCACCACGTCTGCGACATGATCGACACAATCTACTGTGGTATTACAGTAAAGTCTTTTAATCAGACCAAAGCTACCATCACACTTGAATTTGGTATGACCGGGAACCATAAAATTGAGTTCAATACTTTCGTAATAGCCTGCAATTACCAGATACAAGTAAAACCAAATAGTGGCATTGTTTTTGTTTTGTCCACCAGCATTGTCGCAAGTGACTTTCAGGTACTTCTCGCCTTTATTCAATTGCTTGATCCCATCTAAGACTAGGCTAAGGGTACCATTCGGACCCTTTCCAAGAAGTTCGTTCTCATCCAGCACATAATTAAGTTGCTCACGGACCGCTTCATCTTGGATACCAAATAAGTGCACTTTGCGAGCCCTAAGGTAATACACTTTTCCGATTTGCTGGTCCGAATGAGGTACATGGACATTTTGGGCTCAGTCGTAACTGTAGTGGGCAGCCACATCAATGCTACGGTATGGTATTTTGCCTTTCATTATGGAATAAATATAGACTACAGCACTTTACGCTCTCTTTTAAAGCAAGGGCAAGGCGAAAAAATTGCTCCTTACATTTTCAAACTAAAAAGCACGCAGACTATCAAGGATTATCTGGACCAAGAAAAGATAATTTATGAGGTTTACCAAGAGGAAAGGATAGAAAGCCTCCTAAGCGAACATTGGCCGAACCCTTTCAGGAGCCAAGGAAAAAAAGAAAAATAGGAGCATAAAATCAATAGTTGTCGCTTGATCTTACTCTTACGCGTTCATATCATTATATAGAGTTAACCTCATGTATTTATTATCTTTTTATTACAGTAAGAAAATAAGAGCCAAAATAATTGTCGACAAGCACTTACGCATGAACCCTCACCATTTGTTCTACGTGCGCCATGGTTCCGTTACTGTTGTCGTCTCGTATAATTGATGGTCATGGCAATGAATAAGTGTGAAACGGAATCATGACATAAATATGTACAACTATAAATTATATCAATATACAAGTGGCTCTCGATATAAGAAAGTGATCGGGGCCCAACAAATTTTTTTCTTATATCGAAAATCTCTTATAACGAGAGTCATTTGTTATAAGATTTTAAATCGGGTCCAGCAAAAATACTTTCTTATATCGAAAGTTTCTTATATCGAAGGGTTCTTATATCGAGAGCCACTTGTATAAATGTCCATTCTGCTTTACATAGGTGATATCGATATGTGGATACTGATTGTGGCTTGGATTGATGACGTTACGCGTTCCGATCACGTAAAAACAAAAGCCAAGTTGTCATAGACTGTTCATTACGATGGCAGAAGTTAAGTCAATGTCGAGCAACGAGCACACGGACGGAACACAGTCAACCTGCACCTGTTCAGTATTTTGTGTCAGTTCCCGCGAAAGAATGGTCGTACCTCGGATATCTCGAGACCATGAAGCCCCAATTCCAAAATCACAGATTGAAAAGACGTTAAAATCATTATGGATGAAAAAATTCAAAAAAACGACACAGACGAAGGACGACAAATAGCTGCTTCATTCATTCTCAAACAGGTCTGTAGGCGTCTATATATGCATATGTACTGTTGTCGCTAGCGAAATCTCCGCTAGTCTGTAAGTTGCACCACGCTGGAGCAGGTGTCGCCCCTGTTAACTCCGGGAGTTAGGTTTCGTCCTCGGTGCAATTACGGAGCGCTTGTATATACGGGTTGCAATCACGCTGGAGCAGGTGTCGCCCCTGTTAACTCCGGGAGTTAGGTTTCGTCCTCGGTTACAACGTGTAACAAGCGCCGACGACCAACATACGAAAATTTCATCAATGCAATGGTAACTTATTTATCATTTTTTAGAAGAACGGCCGAGAAGCTACCGAGTTCTGGAATCTCTTTGAAAAGAAGAGGGAGCTGGAAAAACAACAGGTATATAATAGTATGCTGTATTACTTCGCCAGATTCCAAGAGTCTCATTATGTTGTGTGAGCAACAGTTCAATACCAACATCGACATTCAGTTAAGCACATTAAAAGTCATGGGTACTGCAGCTGTACATCAAGAGGCTCAGTTAATTGGACGTCTATCGAACGGGCAAGATGACAAGTGCGGCGAGGATAAAGATAATGGCCGGCGGCAAAGGAAGAAAAGGAGATTGCCGATGTCACAAAAATTGCGCGTAACTTAAAGAATATTTTCGCAAGGACTGTCAAAGAAATAATCAAGAATCGGAGGCGTCTGCCGAAAAATTTAACTGTATTTGGTGGTCAAAGTTTCCGCCTCCGGATTTATCTGTATTATCTTAACTATTGTGGTACGTTACCCTCTCATTGAAAGTTTATTGTTGTCAGAAGCTGATAATGCCTCCACGGCCAATGTCAATTCAGGGAATTATTGCCTGAACGAAGTAGACAACGCAAATCTTCCTCGAGATTTCACAGAGATGCAAGACTTCGTTTATTTTTATGAATGTGTGGTGAAATGGGCGGTATGTTTCAATCATGAGCGCTTGTACGCATTATCGTTACTAACTGTGCAATAACTTTACGTCACCATTTATGAATTCAGCTGCTGGCTCGAAACGTCGTAAAGTCCTTTAACGAGGCAAGGATAGAGAAGAGGCCTTCGCGCCTTTCGTACGCAGGCGGTCTACTCAATATGATTGATCCCTGATGAGGTGAGAGCACGGCTGTACAGATGATCTAGAATATGAGTTCATGTTGCTTCAGCGTGGTATTTTGCTTGTACGATAAGCTTTGAAGTAAATAAAAAAGGAGAGAACGTGGTTGCGTTTTTACGTGTCGGTATTTAGTGAACTGCCAATGGAATGCTCTAACGAAAGGAGGACGCTAGTCGGGGACACTCATCATATACTCTTGAACTTTATGGAGAATATCGAATCATTAAAAGTCACGCAGAAAAGATGAAAATAAAATCTTCGAGCATGAGGATCGAACGACGTCAAATGTTCGTTTTGTTACAGCATGCCCCATATAATATCATGTGGTTACCTGTTACTATTACTATACTGTTATTTACTAACATGATATAAGTTAAAAAATAAGACGTCATTATGATAAATACTGTCGCATAATAATAACTGTAAATAAATCAAAATTTTTTTGCTATTATTATTCTTAATATTAAGTTATTATTAATAAATAAATATTAACATAAATAGTTAAACAATAGTATAATAGGTGAATAAATAATCGAATGACTATTGCTCTAAAACCGGCATGCCAAGCAAGACTCACCTTTTATCTCTAACCAGTAAGTTGTTGGGATAAGTATCAATATTATGTACATAAACAGTAAGGAATACAAAAAAAATTATTATTTTTTTGGTATTTAATCGTGCGTTTAATCTACTTTTTATTTACCCTTCTACTTACCTCGTACTGATAGTTGACGTTGGGCTTCTGACATCGGCGTCTCTGAAGGTTAAGATCATTGCCACATTTTTTTCAGTAAGAAAGGTTTAAATAAACCGCTTTGAGGTAATAACAAGTTTATTATTTGTTTATTATTATGCAATCAAAAGCGGTCCGAGTATTGTGTCGGGAAGCTTTTCGAAATCGAGGAAGTGATTCATATGTAACTTCTAATTTGTATAATATCAAAATAATTAGTTGGTTATCTCATGATGCGATGCGATTATTTATTTTACTGAAGGTGAGAAGATGCCTGTTGTTGAATATCTGAATAAATTAATAAACGCACGTACAATAACAGTTTTCCCTAAGGCATTATTATTCTACTCGGTGCGATACACGTGAATGATGGAGAGTGTTAAGCGTTTGTTGTTTGAGGACTTGTTCGTGAGTCAATGTTCACTTAAATACACAACGAACAAACGTTTGTCCCACTCCATATTCCGCATGTGCGACAGTTGCTACAACTCACAAACAAGACACGGTTTATCGCGTCTACTCATACATAGACACTACTCTCCATCGCTTCACAACTACCTCTCATCCTTCAAGCATAAATACAACGTTTATCTAAAGTTTAATATACAACAAACAACGGTTTGCTAGCTACGTATTTGCGCTTTGGAGAAATTGTTAACAAATCCGGTAAGTCACATGTAATAGACTGCGATAACAGTGTTTACTAGAAATCTAGAGATGTGATTTGTGTGCTGAAGATGTACAAATGCAAATGACCTGAGTAACAAAAATATAGTCTTCTCGTACGATGGTCAATCATCACTTGATTAAACCTCCTCGTGTTTCCCAATATGGAAATGGTATGTTGATCTCATTGCGATCATCAAAAGATCAGTTCCTCGCGATATACCTCCGCTGTTAATATCGATATGGACCGCTCAACGCAAATACTGAAAGTACGTAGTTTGATATCAAACATCTCCGCAGACCCAAAATCTCCCAATCAATCCAAGTCCGACGATACGAACACACCTATTGATCAGCTATGGTCTTCAGTTTTATCTAAATCTAGCATCGTTTCTTCTACTGCCATCTCAGGAATTATACAATTGGTTCGATCAGGCGCAATAGAGTGGATAAATGGACTAAACGAACTCGCGTATTTGATACAAACTGCGAGCCCAACAATTCTTGAATGTTTACTCGTTGGTATAACGGATCTTTTACTTCACCATGTACACGCTACGAAAGGCGAATATAAACCAGTCTTTAAAATCAAGGATTCGCACGAAGGCGCGGTTCACCCGTACATACCAATCGTCAAGTCTAAGCCGGAATCATGGATAATGGTCTTTGCTCAATGCGAAAAGATATTCGAGTTTAATGGAGAACAAACTGATATTAGAACATTAGTAAACGCGTTGGAAATGATGAAACCTTTCTTGGATTTTGCCCTCATGTGTGGAGATGCATATTGGAGTATGGCCATGTCACAACTATTGATTCGATCAATGTATAAAAATTTAGAATCTGAAAAATATGGAATGCTAAGAGAGAAGATGTTTGATTACTTATTGACCGTCTCAGAAAGACTACCAATAGTAGACAGAACATCCTTTGAAAAAGCGTACATGTTTAATCAATCTATGGTTCAATTACTCGTCGGAAATTCCGTCTCAAAGACCTTCCTGGGTGATTTTTCACCAAGATTGACAGTTCACATACTATCTCTTGCATGTAGTGCACGTAATTTGGGAATCTCTGTGACCTTTTTACTAAGAGTATTGTCCCGGTTATGCTCTTTCGGTAAAACTGTCGAATCATTGCCTAAATTTACAGTAACGTGGCCGGCACTTTCTTATCTGTTGTTGGACTGTGACACAGTGGAACAGCAAAGCTTGATTTTAAAAGTTATGACAACTGTGTTGGATCAGCAAATCAAAAGAGACAATAAAGATTTTACCTCGAGTTTAATTGCCCAGATTGCTATTTTGCCATTATTTCAGATATTATGCGAAATAACAATAGAGCACGTTCAAAAAGAAATCCTGGCTCTTCTTCGAATAATCGAAACAATGCGAAACGACGTGATCGGAAGCGAATTTATTGAAAATGCTTTATCCAATGAGGCGAGTATACAAGCACAGCCGATTTACAACACGCTCCTATCAAGATTCTAAAACTTTCTTTGTTTATTCCTAGATTTCCTCCTACGTCGGTTCGTTGAGCATCACCGGAGCCATTGCGGAACTCTTTTCAGAGATAATTCAACTATTGAGATCTTTCCTGGAAGCCTCATCATCGGACGATATCCCAGCATCTAATGTTTATTTTAATACCATGTTTTTAATACCATATTTATTACATCCGCATATAGAGCTACGTGTTAGAGCTTTAGATTATTTAATATCCGAGACTGTAAATAATTCAAACACAGCAGCGAATAGCAAACTACCAATTCTTCATGTAATTCTTTATACCCTTCGCGACAAACGACAACCTCCTTTAGTTCGCCTCCACATCCTGTACAATACGCTTCCATCCTTGGTCACTCCATCAGATATAGCCATATCATTCAAAGTTTTAAAGTTTGCCAATTCGTTAATACAAACGAATGACTCTTCAAAATACACAAGACTTAATGCGGTTGGAATGAGAATGTTGTACTATCTGTGGGAGCGACGAAGAAGATCTTGGCAGTCATTAAAACTTGCAATACGCGAATGGGTAAAGAGACGAAAATTACATACTGGAATAATTGATCCAAAGAGTGAAGAAGGTGAGATGGAAATTGCAACCTTGTCTTGTATAAGGTGAGTAGGCATAAAATATAGTACTACTGCAATTTTTAGATGCAGTTAAAGTTAACAATTTGAATTCGATTTGTAGGGACATTTGTAGAACCAGCGCAGAGGATCATATTGATGATTTACTGCCATTTATATCGAGCCTTATGCAGACGGTCAGCTTGCATCCTGTAAGCATATGTTTGATACTTGAGGCTTTGAACGCGTGCATTGAGAGAGATGTAGTAGATCCTCGAACTGGTAACTTTTACTTGTGATATTATTATGTTGTGTTTGTTTCATATTAACCAACATATCTTCTAACTATATCCCAAAGTATGGACAGTTATGGTCTCACATATCACAAACGTTGTCATGTCTACTGATCCCACACCGAAAGATATCATTGTGCGATTATGCGAATTTTACAAATTAATTGCAATGAAGATGGACGGTACAATTGTTTAATCAATATTCATAACATTCATGACTTGATTGGACTTTATACTAAAAAATTACATTCTCTAGGTACGGATTCCTATAATGCATTTATACAAGACTTTCTCGTTGATCACGTTCGTCCATTGATCTTTCCTTATCAATCACCAATCACGGACAAAAGTTCGGACGCCTTATTTAAACTTCAGACGGATGAATTTATTCTCGATCACGCCCTTAAAGCACTTGCATACTTTTCTGCAACAGACATATTGTCTGTTTTACCAGAATCACCAATGACGATAATATCGCAAATTTTAAATTGCTCATCTACAATTGACGGATGGAAGGACGTCCTTAGTCAGTTAATACCCCACGAAGTGTTCGATCTGCAACGTACCTTATTTGGCGGTCGTAACACCTCATCAACAAAAGGAGCCGCGGGTAGAAACCGACATCGTGAACTAGAGAAGCAAAAGTCAGCACTATCTGATATTTTGTCCGGAATTACGTCCGCCTGGGAAAGCGGACCTGTTAACCCTGGACTTCGACCCGGTTTCGCGATAGCGTCATTAATATCCTTCCGTCCTTCTCAGGAAACGTCATCGGCGATGGATTTGAAGTCGACTCATTTTTATCGTGTTCTGATAAATGCTATCCAGGACGTTGCTTTGACAGATTTCTGGTTGATTAGGGCCAATGCTGTGTCGTATTGGCGAATATTATTTGAAAATGGTTTATTAGAGCTAGATTGTATGACTAAAGAAGGAAATAATGCATTAGTGCAGAAGATATATGATGAGTTGCTAGTCAGGTTAAAAGAGGCTAAGCTGCCTGCTACTTACGTGAATATTATATTTGCAATTACAGGTAATCAAGTGTAGTAGTAGTATTTTTGATAATCATAACCCTCGTCATTACTAACTCAAACTTGATCATATATAATATAAAGGTTTATGTCTAGCGTTAAAGTCCTTCGCGATTACCGCAACCAAAATTTACGTCCACAACGTCATTTCTCTGCTCCTTGATCGCTTCATGGCGGACACTTCGCGTCAACAACGAGATTGGGACTTTATCTCAAGTGATGACGTGCAATATGGAACGATGCTCTCTCTCGGATGTCTTGCTACCATGATGTCACCGAACGAAAAGCTCGTTCTTGATATTATCAATTGCCTAGTCGGACACCTAACTACTCGAAATGCTAACAATAGTCTCGAATGGTCATTCTTTGGTTGCGGATATGGTCTAAGCACTATCCTGTCGCATTTCCAGGCCCCTTCAGATGTCGAGTTGGAAACAGCATGTGAAGAGACGCTGACGTTCCTTAAAGAATACGCGTTTACTAACGATGCTCCTTTTAACGCTTCTGTGGGTATTCTCCTTGGTTTGTCAAACTTTGATACCCAAGAAGGTGCCATTAAAGACATCTACGAGAAAGCATTAAACGTCCTAGAAGAATTTGTAAAGACAAAGGATTCAGTCAGTCCAGGAAGGGTAGTTGGTTCCGCTTGGTTCCTTTCATTTTCAAATCAGACCACTATCGACGAAGATTGTCTAAATTTATTAGAGAACGCTATGAACATTAGCACAACAGAGGTAACAATAAGGATTTGTTGTTAGTTCATTTTATCTCAAGCTTCTTTACTTTATTAACTTTTAAATCTGTACCAGAAAAAATGGAAATCTCATAGCTTTCATTTTATCCAATCCTACCTTTACGCCTTACAATCCACGCTCCACGTAAACCAATCATCAAAATATGTATCTACTTTCAATGCCTATGTGCGGGAGAACGTAGACATAATCTCATCGTCATCGTCATCCTCACAGAATCGACAGTCTGCTATTTTAAAACTTGGAGCTCTAACAGCCGTAAACTACATACCCGTGAAGCAACACCATTCACGAAAATCTTACTTTCTGTCTGCATCTTCGACAACCTTACTGTCTCCACTCATCGGGGCGTTACGGGAGGCAACGGGAGTAACAAACGAAGCCGCAATAATGACCGACATTAAGAGTGGAAAATTAGCAGCCATTATGTTAGGACACCTAATGGCGTGTTTGGAGAGATCAGGTGAAAACAACCAAGAACAAGAGTTTGCTATTATGATGGGTGATGAACCGGTGGATTATTCGCGACTACCACGTACGAGCTATCTCCGAGGCTGTTTCGATACTCTCATTGAACTATCTCAAGCCACTACTACTTTTCAAAACCAATCCGCTTCACCCTCGCTATTACTTTCAGCATTATCCACAGCCAAATGTGTCCTTCCACCAGTAAATTGGTATTCTCTCCTTACTCGTCTATCTTCTCGCTTTCCTTCCGCCCGGAAGGAAATTCTTGAAATGACGATAAGTCACTGCGGCCGATCAACATCGTTAATAGAGTATCTAATACACAGTCTAAAACAGCTTTGCGACCTTGCCGGTGACGATCATGAAATTGGGGAAATGCTGCTGCGTCATGGGTTGGTGAAGATGTTGGAATTATGTGAAACTAATAGGGCTAATGATGAGATGGAGCAGCGCGCGCAGAGGCGAGGACTGCAAGTGAGGAAGACCGTTGTGCCCGATGCAATAGCAGTTCGGGTTGTTTATGAAATAAGTATGTCGTTATTTGCAAACAAAAACGAGGTATGTTTATTGCTGGATGAGTTGTGTATTAGTAATGGTTTCCAGTCTATATATAACAGAAGTGTATATTGCTGTAGAATCTTTGGTTGGCTTTTTATGAAAGCATGGACGCTTATTTGACTAAAGCAAATACAGCCAATACACCATCAGCGATATCTCTACGCCAAGATCTTACCCCTAGTCTCGAAAAGACTTATGATTTACTGCCAGAACCAACATCGTCAGTGCAATACAAAGTTGTCCGCATTGCTGCCAAATACTCTGAATTGATACGCGACAAAAACCTACCGCCTCCTCCACAACCACATCTCAAGTTTAAATACACTCTTTCCGTCTGTGCACTCTCAGAGAGTGGCTACATCGATCCCATTCAACATCTCACACGTCTGATTCAAGATTGCTTGAAAGACTATCGCGCGCAGTTCACAGACAACCTGTCTCCCGCTATGCGCGCGCTCGCGTGGGTCGTTATCTCTGTTAACAAATCAATCAGATCATTGAACGCTAGAGATATGAGCAAAACGCGTTTAGAATGGCTTGTTCGTATTCTAAATATACTTTTAATTCAAGAGGAAGATAGTCTCGGTATGGATATTAGCGTTCGTGCTCTGTTTGGATGCTTATTAACGAGTTGGATCACCAACCGTGAGCTAAGTGAAGAAGAGGTATTATATGCACTAAGAGACGTTGAAAATGCTAGAAAAGCAACGTTGGTTGTATCAAGGGAAATTATGTCGGTAGAAGACGATGAAATCTTGCGGCAGGTAAGGTGCCGGTGATGAGTTGGACTAAGCTTATTATTATGTACTTATCAAAAATATGTTATTTCGTAGATCTTGCATCGGTTTCTCAAATTGCTTGATCTTGCCAGAGTGCGGAATAACAGTGAGGAAAGTCTCCTGGTGTTTTATTCAATACTTTCTCATTTGAGAAATCGGCTTTCAGAAGATCAGTATTCAATTGTTGCTGACTGTAGGATTGAAGCATAAAAAGTTAATATTTTGTATATAAAGAATTATTGTTGTATTTATTGTTCATTTAAACAGCGTTTATTATTTATCATCAATTAAGAATTTGTTGCTTATTTTCGCTTTGGTCACTCTATTCTGTTTGCCTCTATTTTCTATCCCGCCTTTGCGACTTCCATCGTGTTGATTGTTTCTCTGATCCTCGGAAATTGACAATTTTTTGGAACCAGCCTTTTCTTCCTTCCAATACCCGAACATACTGTCATGGTCAATTTGGCCAAATAGATCTTTTCTATTAGGCATTTTGCCAACCGGAATTCCTACATTAGGGTTATACATCGTGGGATTATTGATCGACTTGCGTACGGCAGATAATAATGACTCCCACGGAGCACTATAAGCGTCGAGTTTTCCGGAAAATAGATAATCGTGTCCTTGTGTTTAAAACACATTTATTTAACGAGATTGTGAGTATCATGCATGTTCTTTGAGTATTCGAAATAGCACGCATGCTTACTTAATCGACCATGTTCCGGTAATACGGTTCGACATGCATGAATTATTCTCCTCTTAATTCGCACTCTTACAACCGCGAGTTTGCTAACTTTCTTCTTCGAACATATAGCTTGTACTCTAAATGTTTTAATCGGCTCGTTTGTTTTCTTGGCTTGTGTATAGAGATTGGGTATGGCATTAATCAATATAATTGGAGGAAGAATTAGAATGACTACTACAATACCGGGAATAAAGTCTTACTATAGTAATTTTGATTATGATTCCATTGCCTTACAAAGAGAGTGAAGTAATCAGTTGCAGTCCTTTTTCTATTGTTTCTTATAATCCAGAGTACCGTGTCTGTATCGACGGGATGAGTCTAAAAGAATGATGCTTTTAGATGAAGAAGTTCATTAAGCAAGGCCCACGAGGATTTACCTCACATTTAGGAAGGACAAAGTTCTTCTCTTGGCTCTTGGAAGCTTAGCAAGAACATTTAATTTCTATGAGCACAATTAAATTTGAATAACATTGTGTGATCGTATAATATACCTTCAGTTGATATATCAGGCTTTACCGCACTGGAAGAGCATCTTTTTAAAGTCATCAAAGGACATTTCAGATACCCAGCAGCAGAAAGTGGTGTAAGCAAAGAACGTCTTATAATGAAGGGCATTTTGGCTCAAGTAGAAAATTTTTTATGAATAGCACAACAGGAGAATCAATTTAAGTATTAGGCTTGTCGGTATATCTGGCCCTCATTTCGTTTCTCATCATCTACTTATGACTGATCATCAACTCAAAAAAGAGGGAATACCAAATAAAGAGTTTAGAAATTAACGACATTTGTGTTACTCTACTCATAAATTCTTATAAAAGTTTTGAAACATTAGGTCTTTAAAATGTGAATGCAAAAGGTCTTGGCGTGCATACGGCGGTTCACTTTCGTTGCTCAATTAATACTGTGATCAAGGCTAACAATTGATGTTTTCATCCGGCCTCATTTCTGTAACTTTAAGACATCTCTTTAACTCTGGTAGAATCTACATACTTGTTGGGGACTGAGACAGGGCCCAAACTCAGATACGCTTATTACGAAGCTGATTGCCTATGTTGTTTAAGTTTTCGGTTAAAAATGTCGAACAACAGCATTTTGACAGTTTTACTTATTATGAGCGCAATATTGATGACAGACACATTAATTGGTCACTACAGTAGTTATTATTAGGAATGCCAAGAAATAAACTAAATAAACTATGGGCACATAATAGGAGCTGATCGCCATCCCAATGAAATGTTGACTTTCATAGTAAATTTAATTTTGGATATGAAGGATTTATTAAGCAGCAATTCTTCGTATATCCGACTAGTGAAGGCCACATTGCATGCGTATGTTTACTCAGACCATGAGTGACAGGCGTAAGCAATTGTGTAATTTTCTGGTCCTGGTTGGAACTTGTTGCGCAGCGATGACTTGTGCGCGTGGCGTGTGTATCGACACGACAATGACTTGTCCAGATAAAGTCACCAAGGATCAAATTCGGCAATCTTCACGTTCAATTGAATGCTCAATTGCAGCAAGATCGTCTCATGCTTTCACGAATGAGGTTGGAATTTGTTTCCACATTAAAATGCGATAACCCGATTTTGGTTTAATTATAATGATCTGATTTTGACGCTAAATACTAGCACGTAAGTAGTAATTGTAATATTGACTTATTATGAATGTCAATTGTGAAGGGCGAGGGAAGGTGTGTACTTTTTTCCGACCTTTTCCTTATCTAAATCGTCGATCTGCTTCAAAATGTGATAATTGATAATCAGTACGTGTTTTAATAAACATACATCTTTATAAAGTTAGTTTTTGCTAAGAGCACAATTCTAAATAGGGAGACGTTCGTGCTGATTAAAAGAATTGAGTAACGAATATTTGAGTGCCATAAAGCGTCGAATATAGAGTCGATTATGGTAAGTTGCAATAATTCACCGCGTATTTATGATTTCGGTTTGCATACAAAAAAATAAAGCAATCTCATAAGTAGCACCCCATCTTTCAGGTGACATCTACACAGCAGTGTGTCTATTTTGGTGCAAGTATAATAACAATAATAACACCACCAATAACAGGTTTAAATTTACAATAAAAAACAGTTAGTGCAACACAGTCACAGGGACTCCAACTGATCATCGTCTTAATAAGGAACTGAAAAACCGCCCTCATTTGGTAAGAGCTTGTGCATAAATAAACAAAGCATCACTATTATTATATACACGAGAATGATCGCGTGACCCATGCCAAGAATAACTTTTATATGTCGAATAACGAAATATAATGTTCGCTCAATCGAACAATTAGAAAGAACCTTATAAAAAAGAACTCATTTCCTTCAAAAAACAACGGTAAAGCAAAATATGAATACCTCTGCTGGGCAAAATGCTGACTCTGCCGAGAAGAATGCTACAAATCAGAACGAAACTGCTGCTGATGCAACCATGATCAGGTAGGCGTACAAGTTGACAAAGGAATAGTCAATACGTCAAGGACAGTCGACACTGTAACGAGACTCACCAAAAAGCATATGTACTCATCAGTTTAGTAAATGGGAGCGACTCGCCCGAAGACGCGGAAAGGATTCACTGGGAAAGCGGACGGCGACTATGGAGAACCGTTGAAAAAAATGCAGACACGATAACAGCTGTTGGACATGAATGCGTCAAGTCGGTCGTCCCTCTCGATCTGCTTCGATACCTGTACCTCCCTCGACATCCCCATGACAGATATTTTGACACGGAAACAAGAACGCTGTCATACATTCGATCACGTTCCTTCCTACCTGTCAAGTCCCTTCCACCCGGACAGCGAAAAAGAATTCTCGTCACGGGTGGTGCTGGCTTTGTGGGTTCGCACTTGGTCGATCGTTTAATGTTGATGGGTCAAGAAGTGATCGTGATTGACAATTACTTTACCGGGCGGAAGAGTAATATTGCTCACTGGATAGGCCATCCGAATTTCGAGCTGATTAGACATGATGTTGTTGATCCGTTTTTAATCGAAGTCGATCAGATATATCATTTGGCTTGTCCCGCCTCTCCACCTCATTACCAGCACAACCCTATTAAAACGGTTAAGACTAGCGTTATGGGGACTATCAATATGCTTGGATTAGCAAAGAGGGTCAAGGCTCGTTTTCTCCTAGCATCTACATCAGGCATGTATCCGAAATATCCAATCCTACATTATCCAATCCCACATTTATCGACCCGTCGCTATTCACCATTCTGATAGTCTAGAAAACGTCTGTATGCATCTTCATCGCCTGTATTAATTTTTTCGTTTGTATTGCAGAAATTTACGGGGATCCGGAAGTGCATCCACAATCAGAGACGTACTGGGGCAATGTAAATCCCATCGGACCACGGGCATGTTATGATGAGGGAAAACGGGTTGCCGAGACCTTGACGTATGCGTATAGGCACCAAGATCACGTTAATGTTAGAGTAGCTCGCATATTTAATACATATGGTCCTCGGATGAATGAGAACGACGGCCGGGTAGTGAGTAATTTTATCATGCAAGCGTTGAGAGGAGAAGAACTAACAATATATGGAGATGGGTCACAAACAAGATCGTTTCAATACATTCACGATCTTGTGGATGGTCTAATACTACTCATGAATAATGATTGCGATCTACCGGTAAATTTGGGTAATCCGGATGAATACACCATCCGAAGTCTTGCAGAGTTGGTTAGAGATGAAGTGAACCCAGATTCTAATATTACAACCCTGAAAGCTCCTGTTGACGATCCAAAAAGGCGTAAACCTGATATAGCAAGAGCTGAGGACAAGCTAGGGTGGAAGCCGACATGGCCAGTCAGACAGGGTATCCAAGAAACTGTACATTATTTTCGGCGACAAATGGAAGCTGGACTCGTTTGAACAAGTGCTTGTGTCGATGTTTCTTCTTCACATTATATAGATCGCGCAGAATCGATTCGTGATATTATTTGTGGAGAATATCGAATTGCTTGATCGAACCAATTTTATTGTAGTTGTATAGAACCTGACCGAATGGTTTTATTTTTCTATAGATAGGATTCTATATTACGTTGTAGACATAATTTCTGATTTATACGAACAAATTTTTATTATTGCATTAATATATATAGACGATTTCGCACCTTATTAGACAATTTTTTAAATAAAAAGAATTTGAACTGCCAATCACATCACATGACAAAATCCTGTTTGTCAGCTGATTAAACATGCCATTATAATCTGTTACACAGAATGTTGAAGTTTGCTCTCACATATCACATCAACTCTTAAATTCATACCTTGTTTGCATCGCAGTTACCTTTTATACAACTCTATTTGTTTTAAGACTTGAAAAATGTACGAAGTCAGAAGACCGACTCAGAGACCCGGAGGATCTAGGAGAAAGAGAAAAGTAGAAAGTGAATATGAGGTGATTGTTTGACACATTGACAATTTTACCTGTAGAATAGTACCGTCCGTAAGTAGCTAAATGGCCGATAAGCAACAGTTTGAGTGTGTGAAGAACGAGTTAATGGATGAAAATTATAGCTTTTTGATCTAATGAAAATGCGTGTGCTCTTGAATGCGATGTAAGATAAAAGGGTAATGAAAATTGGGAGTTGTTATAAGAAACTTGTCAGAGTGATCGCATTTAAATAGTAATCTTTCACCATACTTGTAGTCAATCCACACATCTATTTCCTCCCCTCACACGCTCTTATCGAAAACTGTCTGTTAATTCTTTTTTCCCACTTTCTAATCTGCAAGGATATCGACAAACAGAGGCTATCTCGAAATAGTAACGGGACACGCCATGGTGTCAAGATTATCGAGAAGAGCGAAGAAACTAAATCGTCCATACGCAAATATTGTGAGCATAATCACTGATGATGTGTTGTATCGGTAATCTATATCCAACTAACATTTGCATCCCCAATCAATACTGGTCTTACCATATAACTCAAAAGTATCATACAATTATCACATGCCTTCAACACCAAATCAAGCAATACTCATAGAATCCGATGATGATAATAAAGCGAAAATACAACAAAACACACGTCGCGACAATACCGCCGAGATAAATCGGGACAATAAGGAACTGGAGGAAGAAGAAGGGGATGAGGATGATGATCCATGGGGAGAAGCTGAAGAAGAGCAGGAAGTAATGGAGGAAGATGAACTAAAAAGAAGCAAAGCCGTGAATGGAACGGATTCTGCAAACGGCAAAAATGGGTTATTTAACGTTTCCGATTTGGATGATACGGAAAGCGAACTTCCGGATGAGGACGATGTTGGGTGGGGATGTTGACGTTGACGGTCGCAACCAACCTGTCTGTTATAAGAGCTACCCCCCTCCCTCTAATAACGGAAAAGCGATAACAACGGTGACAACCCAACAATAGTCGATTGTTAATATCATGAACATTACTTAGCCGTATGCTCAATCAGAGCAAAAGAAACAATATTAGGATCTATTGTAAGATATCTTCAGCAAATCCAAAAAAAAAAAATTTTTTAAAATATTATCCTGTATTGTCTCGCATGCAATAAAGCATGATGAACCATTTTACAAAATGATATTCGGCAACGGTTAAGGCTGGTAATTATGACAATCATTTTAAACCATGCTTCCTAGAATCATTGGCGGTCAATTTATTTTAAGCAGTGTAATCGTATAATATGTTTGAATTTCGTAGCCCCAGTATAATTTATCAACCAAACTCTGTGGTCACAATGCATGTCCGTTTCAAACTCGTATCAGTTCCCGGCCGACATTCACCAACCTACGTGAGACTATCTCTTTGATGATTGTTAAAAATATAATATTCGCGCCTTGGTACTAAAACAAGTGTAGGAATTTAATGTGATATCGTCGATGCCAGGCGAACAGTGGTGTCTAAAACAAATACCGCTTATATCGTATCTCTTTGCACCACTTCATATTGTTTATGGTGGAAAGTATACTAAATATAGAAAAAAAACTGCTAGCGCGACCGGGTGACGTCATCAAATCAACCAATTACATACTCTGTATTGTATTACATTCAAAAGTCCGAGTCTAAAATTTCTTAATGTTTCATTTTGATGTCGGTTCACTTTAATTATTATCAACAACATGGACGTCGTAAAGGCAGTTCAGAATTATATTTATAAGATGGTTAATGAAGTTTCGGGGATGAAAGTCTTACTTCTTGATAATGAGACAGTGAGTAACTGTTTGATTCTTTCGGTTTATACGATCGACCGTATATCAAATAACTTTTTGCCATTGTTAATCAATCGTTTTCATTGCATTCTTTAGACCCCAATAATATCTAATGTGATGACACAATCGGCCTTATTAACACACGAAACATATTTGGTAGACAGAATTGATAATCGCAAAAGAGATAAAATGCGTCATCTACGGTGCATCTGCTTCCTTCGACCAACCAGTGAGACTATTCAGTTGTTAGTGGAAGAATTAAGAGAGCCCTGTTACGGAGATTATTACCTGTGTAAGTAATTATCGGAATTAGTAATTCTCAGGGCTGTCAAAATTGGAGTATTATAAATGATCCTCGTCGTATGCATAGATTTCAGTAACACTGTAAAAAAGTCACAGATCGAGAGATTGGCAGAGGTTGATGAGCATGAAGTAGTGAGAGAAGTACAGGTAGGTGACGGTACATTGGAATTAACGGTGTAAGCAAAAGTATTAATAAGACGCTGAGACTAATCATAAATCCATTTTTCTTGCTATTCGTGGTAACAACGCTCATAACCCCTCTATAGGAATATTTCGCAGATTATTGTGCGATAAATCCAGACTTTTACTCTTTGAATCTTACATATCCACAAAATCCGTTATATGGTGAAAGTCCAACGTCATGGGATGGAAGGACGTTTTCACGGGTGTTAGAGGGACTTTTATCTGTATTGTTGTCACTGAAGAAGAAGCCATCGATACGATACGAGAAAATGAGCGTAATGGCAAAGAAACTAGCCCAGGAAATAAATGTAACCACTGTTATATTATGCGTCATCAGTCGTTAAGCATGATACCGTGATGTGATTCTAATAACGTTTTCGGTGGATAGTACCAAATACAACAAGAAGGCCAATTATTTGATTTCAGAAAAACAGATACTCCCCCGATACTATTAATACTAGACCGTAGGAATGATCCCGTTACTCCTCTGCTCTCTCAATGGACATACCAAGCAATGGTGCATGAGCTGCTTGGAATACAAAACGGTCGAGTCGATCTATCCGATGTGCCTGACATTCGAGCCGAACTGCGAGTAAGCATTCAATACTAATATACGCTGTTGACTTTTTTTTTTCATTGAGGTTTGCCACCACCCATGACTGTTTATCGTCAACACACCATTTTATTACAAGAATTAAGTTTTACTCAATCTCTGCTCTGTTTACTAGGAAATAGTTCTTTCCCGCGACCAGGACTCCTTTTACAAGAAAAACTTGTACCTCAATCTTGGAGATCTCAGCGCAAACATCAGATCCTACGTTCAAGAATATCAAACAAGGACCCAATCAAACATGAACATTGATTCCATAGCGGATATGAAGAGATTTGTTGAAGAATATCCCGAGTTTAGAAAATTGTCTGGGAATGTTACCAAACATGTTGCTTTGGTGGGGGAATTGAGTAGGTTGGTGGAAAAGGAGAAATTGTTGGAAGTTAGTGAGTTGGAGCAGAGTTTGGCGTGTTATGAACAACAACAAAATGATTTGAAGGTATGTACGCTCCACTGAGGAATAATCTGTAGAATTGGTAGTACGTATGCAACATGTAAAGACAAGAGGTTAGCAGTGTGATTTGGAAGATGTTTCAATATACTAATACTGAAACCTGCAAATTTATAGAATTTACAACGACTCATCACAAGCTCACACATATCGGAAAATAGCAAAATAAGACTAGTACTCTTGTATGCATTAAGATATGAAAAGGCACAAAATAATGCAACCAAATCTCTCGTGGAACTCTTACATCACAGCGGCGTCAGCGAACAAAAAATAATGGTAACAATTACAAACCACGAATTTCTATGTTTTGTCTCTTCTTTTATTTCCTTTTATTAGACCAGTTTCTTTTTTCTTTTTTTTTGGTCTTGTTCTTTTGTTGTCCTCCCTCCCTCCCTCAATATGGTAATTAGTTGATCGATTCGATGATGGAATATGCAGGAGCAGATAAACGTCAAGACGATCTCTTTGCAAATGAGGGTTTTCTCGCAAGTGCAAAGAGTGCACTGAGAGGACTCAGAGGTGCCGAGAATGTCTACACGATGCATGCACCGCACTTGGCTCAGACGTTAGAACTGATGATTAAAGGCAAACTAAAAGATACAAGTTATCCATTCCTCGACGGCGTAACAAGGGATAGGTAAATTATATTATCCTAGTACCGGAGCGGTTGAAATATGTGTGTGATCCGTGAGCGTTGTATGACTAATCTGGTCGGTTAACAGACCACAGGATATTATAATATTCATGATTGGCGGCGCCACATACGAAGAAGCGAAATACGTTGCAGAACTCAATGCATCTACGCCTGGCATTAGAGTGGTATTGGGTGGAACTACAGTACATAACAGTGCGAGGTAAGTAAAAAAAAAAAAAAAAAAGAGTGTTATTGGATTACTTGCTTTGGTTACGTGTAATATTAATGGGGTTTATTGTTATTGAAAGCTTTTTGAACGAAGTCCAAGAAGCTTTCCATCGCTTTTCGGGTGGATCAAGCTCTCGTCCACCACGATTTGGTCAACAATCTCGAACTCGTGTTTGATGCGAACATTTGGGCTATAGATGTAATGGTTTTCTTATCTCACATGAATAATACAAGGCTATCCATTCTTTATGATTCGACATCTAATTATTTATCTCGTAAGGGTAGTAGTAGTAGTAGTAGAAGCTATAGTTGTTGCGTCACGCATGATTTTACCCTATTTAAGAAGAATTAATGGAAAGACAAATACTAATAAAGTTAATATTTTAATCCATCAAAAAGGTGGAATGTCGAAGAAAAGATGTTTATTGTTCCGTTAAATACTGTTTTCTCTTTCTTGAGTTTTGACACGAAACATTAATGTCATTATTGCAATGGTTCAGGGACAACGTTTTGTAAAAAACACAAATTGCGCAACTCTATATTAAACTCTCGATCCAAACCACTTTATGTCTGGATAGTTCAAATTAGCCAACCAACACTCGATATACCGGACACATCCATTATCAAGACAAAGAAGTTTACCTTAAAAGTCCATATCTACATTAGGATTAGGAAGATATACACCAGGCTGAGATGATTCTGGTGTGACAATTGGTTCTTGATGCCGTAGCTGAACCGGTTGAGCTTGCTGTGGTGTTGAATGAAGAATTTCGTGATCTTGATCCTTCTCGCCCGCCTTGTCTGGCGCTGCTGCCATTTGTGTCCTTACACGACCCAACTCTTCCTATGAAAAAAGAAATAAACTTGCAAATTTGAGTGTGGATCAAAGAGTCCGTACATAAGGTGATCAAGATTCGTCTACATAAATGCGATGGGCTCCCACTCACAACAAACTTGGCCCGCAAATGAGACACCTCGGCTATCGAGTCATTAATTGCCTTTGCGACCATAGCCTCTGGTTTCGTGTCCTTTGTTGTCATGACTTTTAATACGACGACATGCTCGAGCGGATGAGGCATTTTATAACCAGCGAATATGACTTGTGGTTCCTTTAATAAAGAGCTATTGAAGGAAATGTTGCGGGTTAGGCGGGACGACAAGATAACGATGTTTTCGTTAAGAATCAAGGAGGACCGAATTAACCTACTATCTAATGAGATTACCGAGACTATGGTCTTCTTTCTGGATCACAAAAGTAGCAGCATTGTCTATCTTTGGGTCGTATGTATATGTGATCCTACATGTCACAGAGAAACCATGAGAAGCATCGCAGCGTATAGAGAAAAGAATGCACAGGATCTAGACTCTTGTTGTGGCAATTTACGGTTCAAGTTCGCTCTACGTACTTTTTTACACCATCTGGGATGATAAACAGCTCGAAACGATCTGGTGCGTTCATGTTTTGTAAACGACGAAAAGCAAAATAGCAGTCAGAAAAAGCCAGGCGAAATTTACATAAAAATTTAGTCTCGTGTAACATATATAATAATATTATTGGAACGCAGATTTCTTAACAAGGCCTATAGCATATTTATTGTATATTTATTGTAATATTAATATATATCAATCAAATCTGCTTTGCTTCATTCTCAGAAACAAAATACCAGAAGATTGTAACTAAAATGACTGTCCAACAGTCTTACTAATTCTACTACGGTTTGATTATGGGAATAAGGAGGCCAACCCCGTTTCTCAATCAATAAAAAGAAAATACTATCTTCATACTCTTCAGAACAAGAATTCGTCCATTGTTTCCAAATAGTCGTAATGACCCGTTCCAAATAAGCGGTCAAATTCTCCTTCAGTAGTAAATTCTGGTTCGATTTCTGTCTGTTCTTCGATTTCTATTGTTGAATCGATTTCTGTCTGTTCTTTGATTTCTTCGATTTCTTCGATTGGGATTTCTTCCTGTACTTCAATATCCGACAGGTTTGGGTATACCTGTTCACCAAGTATCGCGCCGGGTGTACCTGGATCACTATACGAAGTCCAACCAGGTGTCATCAGCGGCGTCGGAAGAGATGGAATATATTCGTCCGGGGGGGAAGACAAGATGCTTGATGCATCTGACTCAATCTGCTCCTCGTTTTCTTGGGGTGACGGATAATAATATTGAGGGGAGTTCATGCTGAAAGAAGAGTTATTAAAATTTTGCGTTGTCGTGTGTGGCAGCGACTGGCTAGTCGCACTCTGTTCTAGAATTGTCGTGTGTGGTAGCGGCTGCGGGGGCGTGCTGGGTGACGGTAACCCTGCCGGCCCGCGCCCCGGCATAGCTGGTTCTTCTCCTGCGAAGTTTGGTTCTTCGCCTGGGAAGTTTTCCGTGGTGGTAGCTGGTTCTCCGTTTAGCGTAGTGTTAGCTAGTTCTTCGGCTGGGATGTTTAGCTGAGTGCGTTATTATTCGTTCAGTAGTAAATATACCCAAAAATTATAAAGATGGATTTTACCTCTGTTCATGTTGTGTTGCTGTCGTCTACTTCTTTTAGTCGGTCGATACTTGTACGTCGGGTGGTCGCGTTGGAACCTTTCTTTCATTAGTTGTGCGGCAAGTTCGAAGACATTCTTCAGGGTAGGATCCAGGTCCTTCCACGCGCGCGCTGCTCTCCGAATTATGGAACGGGCTCCTCCTGGAGCAGTGAAGAAGGTGCCACGCAGTCTCAGGCGTTTTTTATATTCGCGGCAGTATATTACAGAAGCATTACAAACTCTCTTAGGATAGCCTTTACGATTTGGGGTTTCGTCGTATGCCAGCAATTCTTCTTTCGTGCATAGCAAGTCTGCTGTTGCGATAACAGTCTCAAACTGCCTTTCTAAGTCGTCCAGGAATATAACCTTCATAGAAAGACCGGAGACAGTTTATATACAAGACACGGTACGGTGGTCGGAGCAGTGTTTAGGTTCGTGTTTCAACACAATATCGGAGAGCAGCGGATTGCGGTGGAGCGAAAGGTTTATTTTTATCTTATCAAGTGTTAGTCTTATGCAAAGTGGAGGAGGGGGTTCGCCTGTTGCTTGCTGACGGACAGAGAAACAGATTTATGGTCCTGACTGATGCTTTTTATAAGAGTTTCTGTACTCAGCCTCGAGTGTTTGCTGTCTTGATAGGGGCTGTTGATTTGTACGACTCTGTTCTTAGTAGGGGAATATTTGAACTGTTCATTGCTTTTGGTAATTCTTCGACTGTCCATTGGATTTGGATATTAATATGCGCGTGACCATTCTATTTATTTTGATAGTCGAAAACTGCGACTCCGCAGCTGGGTCACAAATTACGTACCCCTGAGCGTAAATTGCGATTCGATTAATGGAACATTCAGAACATACCCATTCTATGCACAGTATGTTTCAACTGGAAATGAATGACTTTGAAATATTCTTTTTTTCCCGTACGACAGACACTAAAATATAAAAGTTTCACAAGAACGTGTCAAAATATACGACTCTTTTTTTTTTCAATTTTTTTTTTTTTCACTAGTACAGATTCACTTGCAGATATTGATATCACCGCAAGTGATAAGAATTTGAATTGTGTGAGATGTGAACAAATTGTGAATATGCATATTTTCAAGTGCCTTTTGCAGGACAACCTTAAAAATTTTCGTGTTGCAAATATCACGGTTGCGGATAAGGGGGAGGGAAGAAGAGAGACATTATTACAGACCATAATAACACAAGACTTGCAAATGACGTACTGTATAGCAACAGAAGAGAAACATTATTATAGACCATAATAACACAAGACTTGCAATGACGTACTGTATAGCAACAGAATACTTATATCACCATGTCAGCTGACAGGCAATAATAACACAAGATAGATGTTATTATTATTACGTCAATACAGATAATGAATGCATTAATAATACAAGACTTCAGAGACATCAATACGGATGCTTATCATAGACGAAATCCTTATCCGTACTTGGTGTACATCGACAGGAAATAATAATACAAGAAATGAAGAATCTTTCGTAATACTTACTTCGTTACGTTAATATATGCAATGAATGCAGAAGACAGAACTTTCCATCGTATCGAAACTTTATATCAGATGAAACGAACTGACAGGTTGGTTCATTGTTGCGTCAATACATGTAATGAACGAACACTCACCATCATAGGGCATCGACAAGACTTGCGTTTTTCATCGGATGAGACGAACTGACAGATAATTAATCGTTGGCTCGTTGACGTTGTTGCGTCAATACATGTAATGAATGAACTCACTATTATAGAGCATCGACAAGACTTGCAGGAGACGAAGCTTTTTCATCGATGAGTAGATAATTAATCGTTGGTTCAATTGTTGCGTCAATACGTGGCATGGATGCAATTCAAACATCGTTTCAGACAATCGTATATTTAAAGACTTTCTTTTATTAAAAAATAATTATCATGGAACAATTACATTGATTGGATTCTGTCTAAATATCTCTAGTATACTAATTTGACCAAGAGGAGAAGCGGAGAGTATGAAAAAACAATACAATACATGAGAAAAAGAAAAAGAAACAAGTTCCTGAATGTGGCAGCAGTAGTGTCGTTGTATGTGGCAGCAGTAGTGTCGTTGTATGTGGCAGCAGTAGTGTCCGTTGTATGTGGCAGCAGTAGTGTCCGTTGTATGTGGCAGCAGTAGTGTCCGTTGTATGTGGCAGCAGTAGTGTCGCTGTATGTGGCAGCTGCAGCCGTGTCGTGTGTGGCAGCGGCTGCAGCGCGTTGTCGTGTGTGGTAGCGACTGCAGCCGTGTCGTGTGTGGCAGCGACTGCAGCCGTGTCGTGTGTGGCAGCGACTGCAGCGTAGTGTTGTTTGGTGGGCCAAAGAGGGCATCGTTGATTTGCTGTGTGGGCAGCCGCGCGCGGTTTGCGCTGTTGTGTGTGGCAGCCGCGCGGTTTGCGTTGTTGTGTGTGGCAGCCGCGCGGTTTGCGTTGTTGTGTGTGGCAGCAATTGCGTTGTCGTATATGGCAGCTGCCGTGCCGTATGCTGCATGTGGCAGCAGCCGTTGTTGTATGTGGCAGCGTAAAGCTGCCGACCAGTAGCTGCTTCTATGGCAGCGAAAAGTGCCGTTTATAAGCTGCTCCGCTATGCGGCAGCAGTAAGTCGTTGGGAGTGGCAGCAGCGCGTTGTTGTGTGGCAGCATTTGCGTGGTAACGGTTTGCGTTGCGTTGCTGGCGAGTTGGCAGTGCTCCCAGTGTTTGCGTTACTGGCAAGTGGCAGCGACCAGCGCTGCACAGTTTGTTGTAAGTGGACGACGAAAAGGTCGAGCATATTAATTGATGCTTTGGTTTTGGGAGGTGAAGGTGATTGCACCGTCCTCGGGCGCTTATAAACAAAATTGATATCAATGTAATCGATATCAATATAGTAACTGTGTTGGCTACTTTTGGAAAGATCGGTTGAATGTTACAATCGATATCAATATAGTAACTGTGTTGGCTACTTTTAGAAAAATCTGCTGAATGGTACATTCGGAACATCTCCCGAAACTTTGACCTATTATGGTATACTAAACAATGAGTATGGTGGCAAAAAATATCATATGACGTACAGAGATAATAAACTTCCCAAAAGAAGCGAATACAGTGTGCCAATGAAAGACCTTTTCATAGAGCGCAGTCTGCGGCAACATGCAGAAAAAGATTTTTACCCTTTATTCAAAGTGGTCAAATGATCAAAAACTGATATCACTGATATCACATGCGAATACCATGTAACAATGTACAAATTCTGCATTTTAAATTGTTGCATACAATGATAACGCCCAAACCCCAACCTTATGCCCCTTGCGCTTGTAACACCCCAACAGTGAAAGATTATCCGGAAAGATACGATTGATTGCTTTCCTGGCACAGCAGCTACTTATCAAATAACCACCACACCCATTTCCTCTTTCGCTCAAGTATAAACGAATAATAATAATAATAATAATAATAATAACAACAACAACAACAATAACAAATAATAACAAATAAAATATAAAAATAATATTGAAAAACATACCCCAACAAAGTATAACCCTACCGAATAAAATAAATCAGTTTTAGGAGGATCATATTAATATTATCCTCCAGCAACTCCCAAAATAACATTCGAGAGTTGACCCTTTCTTTCAAGTTTGTGTTGTACAAAAATTGTAAATAATCTGAACAAGTTTCAGATATCAAATACACTCGCTGCTGTCAGGTCAGTACTTGGAAATACCTGATGTAGCGAGTAATAAAGAATACCATACATATTCATTTTCACGATTGATGTCTGGATACAATGGTATGGTGGTAAAGACGGGTACCCCAAACGGGAAACTACTGTATGGAACCAAGGTATAATCGTTGTCGCAGATAACATCCGAGAAGTTGTTATCGTAAGCTGAAACTACATCCGAGAAGCTGTTATCGTAAGCTGAAACTACATCCGAGGAATTATTGATATTGACTGAATTATTGTCCGAGAAGTTGTTATCGTAAGCTGAAACTACATCCGAGGAATTATTGATATTGACTGAATTATCGTCCGAGAAGCTGTTATCGTAAGCTGAAACTACATCCGAGGAATTATTGATATTGACTGAATTATCGTCCGAGAAATTGTCATCTGAGAAATTATCACTCATAGAATCCGAGAGAGTAGCATTCGATGTCATATCAAGGGCAAGATTACTAGTCGAGTCCTCCGTCCGTTCCTTTCTACTTGGTGATACCGCCTCAGCCAAACTTTCTGACGACGGAACTTGGACACATTCTAAAAGAGATGTTGTTTTAATGCTTTATAAACATAGTCAGTATAGAATGGTGTGTGTTGGAGGATTAATTCTTACCTTGCTTGTTCGTCCAAGCACGAAATTTGGTCCGTCCACGTCGATTAGTATTAGGTGCTCTTGGCTCGTACTTATAACCTGGGTGGGCGTCGTAGAAACGACTTTTCATCACTTTAGACGCCAATTTGAACACCCGTCTGCTTTTCTTGTTCAATTTGTTCCATTCGATTCCGGCTTGCTTATTTCCGCTTCTGGCTCCACCCTTGCGGGTATCGAATTGGCCATCAATTTTCATTTGTTTGTTATATTCTTTCGCGAAGATGATGTAGGAATTCGATGGCCTTTTGTGTTGTCCTTTTTTGTTGAGAGTCTCGTCATAGGCTACTAACTCCTCTTTCGAGCACTTTAGATGTGCGGCCTCATATGCTTTATTAAATTCCTCTTCTAAATCATACGTATGTTTTCCCCTGAAACTGCCATACATTATGCTTTTACCATTAATAAAAAGAGAGCAGGGGAGGGGAACTTTTCTACAATTCTTTCGGGACGCTCTACCCTTTCAGTACGCGGAATTTCACCTGCTTATATTCAAGAGATAAATAACACTAGATTGGGTCAGATGACTAACCTTTTTTTTTCTCCGCGTCAGTACATGTGTTTATGTCGATTGATAAAGTAATTTTGAGACTGTTCGTTATTTTCAACGTCCTACGCAACGTTACATAATAATAATAATTAATTAATTAGGGTATTCACTGCTATTGGCAAGATTTAGCGCAGTAGAGAGAACCTTCCAGCGTTATTGCATGTCATGTCCGCTTGTTTTAGTAGGATCCGAACGGGCTATTTTCTCCGAACATATGAAATTGATTTGTTATTGTTCATCTTCTTTCATACAACCATGGAAAACCACTTATGCTGCGGCAGTAAATATAATGGATTGTGTTATGAACAATATCCAATGAATAATTGACACTCATAACATTGTCATCGACATGAAACAATGACACGTGACAGTATTCGGAATTGTTGGCGCAGCGGTAGGTAGCGGTAGGTAAAATTATTTACAAGTAACAATTCATGTTTCTCGCTCCAATAGTGCCGATACGTGACAATACAAATATCACGTTATTTACATAAAAAACCGGCCTCGGATAGGTCAATTATTTTCATATCAAATTCTAACGTATAATAAAAACTGTTTCTACACTATTGAATTAAATCTTTTGTTAGCGGTCTAATATTTTGCCATTTGCATCTATTACTGCTTGAACTCGTCGTGGCATGCTTTCGATAAGTCTTTTAATTTTATCTTGAGAAATCGACTCCAATTTTTTCTCCCCAGTCGTTCAAGCTCATTAAGATTTTTAGGTTTCTTTTTTCACCTTTAAGGCTTTGCTTAATCTCATCCCACAGATTTTCTATTGGGTTAAGGTAAGGACTTTGGGCTGGCCAAGAGAGCGTTCGGAGATATTTTTCTTCTCGAAATTCAATGGCAATAAATGGTTTACGACGAGCAGCACAATTTTTAAGTCCTACCGAGTCAAGTGCACGCCGAATGGTTGAGACAGAGATTTCTTCTTTTTCCAAAGATTCTGAATATCCCTAGCACATTTCCGACGTTTTTTTTTATTAGTCACTAATCGTTTAAGCTTTTTACAATCTGAAGATTGTAAGAGACATGGTCGTCCAAAACGTGGCTTTGCTTCAGTTGATCCAGTAATATTGTATCGGTTTATACAAGCCAAAACTGCTGAATGGCCACATCCCACGATTTTAGCAATTTGTCTGCTGGAATGTCCAATCTATGACCATAAAGACTGGAAGTCAGTTTTTTTACCCATGATTTCTTTTAAAAAAAAAAGGTAGACGCAAACAGATTGTTTTTTGTTTATTTATTTATTTATATTTACAACATGACAATTTAGGCAACAGTTGACATAACAAATATCCTAAATCAGTAGTGTAGAAACAATTTTCATTATTGTGAAAAGCACTGTTATTATAATAAAAGACTGAGCAATTTATTTAATAAAAGTCCGTAAACTTTTGAGTACCCTCTGTATCTGACCTCTACACGAGTCTTAGTACCTGCTTCATCATGAGTAACGTCGCAGCACAATGTAAAAGGGTTACGTCGGCAAAATCTCCAGATCTTTTTTAGAAAACCAATTTTATTTTGAACTTTTTGTTTAATATTATTATCAGATATCAATTTAAATCAAATGCTGATATAATAATAAATGAAGATATTAAATAAACCTTTACTTTTGATAATTCTATCTATCCAATACGTTGTAATATTATACAATATGTGTCTCTCGCAAGTCTTGCTCTTAATAGAACAAAGCTTCTATAAAGCAATGTTATTACAATAAATATTTGATTACAATATGTTCTTAGCTAGAATTAACATGCTTAATATTTTATTATTTTAATTTTAGCCCAACATTTTTTTATCATCGCATATCAAGAGCTAGTACTAGTGCTTATCTTGTATTGGCTACAGAAATAACATGTCTCACAACTTCAATTCATATGGCCCAAGCAAATACATGAATTGGACGAGTAGATTGAAAATGCAGAGTTTAAAGAAGATATGGTGAGTTGAAACAACAAATAAATGCAATCTAGATACTGTCAACTATTATGAGAACTTGAAAAAAATCTCCCTAATTAAAAGCAGTTTCAGTTGAAACAATCTTGGAATATTAATATTGTTGATGAGTAATAATTAACCGAGACTAGACTATATTGATTAGTTGGAGAACTGATTTAGCCAAGTACAAGCGCTCCATTGATAAGAGAATTATTTAGCAAATTTTACAACCTACCGAAGAACAAAGACTTGGATTGTCAACCCACCAAGCATCACGGACATATTCTAGCCACAATTAATAATTAACATCGCAATTTAGAAAAGTTATTAGCAACTTCTTATACTTATAGTGCTAGTAGCAAACTACCTCGACATTTATTATTATGGTTATTTTTTATTTACCTAACGTTTATGGTAAAATAGATATTAAGTAAATCTTATTAATGAATTAACAGTCAATTTATTTTATAGTTTGAGTATATTTAATATTATGATTAAAGTTCTAAATAATTGTAACACAACGGAGATCCTGCCAATAACAAACAAAAGCTAGATGACTCGCCATTCTCTCTCTTTATTCTCAAGATGTTTCCGTATCCTGACAGTATACCATGGTTTATACAATTTTTAGCCAATACCTGTGGATTAGCTCTTTGTAGCGGTGCTGTACTGCTATACTTTTGCCAGTGTATTTTGATTTATCCCGCTAATTTCCCAACAGGATCGAGGACTAACGCAAGTATTTACTTCATTTCTATCGAACGTTAAGTGATATTGCTAGCGATTGCCCATTCCTGACGTTTCTTTGATGGTACAGGTCGAAAAGCCTTCAAAATATGGAATGGAATACGATGACATAACACTAAAGACAGTTGATAACGTTCGTTTAAAAGCGTATATATGCAAGCAAGTGCCTGATGAAGTGGCCAGGAATTCACCAACCCTTCTTTTCTACCACGTTAGTGTTTATCAACTAGTTTTTGTATTGACAGTCAGTTGCGTGAAATCTAATTACTTTTCTCTAACCCCAATTCAAGGCCAATGCAGGAAACATGGTGAGTGCATGCGCTGTACCAAAGTATTCGGTTTCGTATACTTTCGATTCTAACGGTTTGTTTATAAGGGACATCGTTTACCAATAGCGCAAGTGTTTTACAAGAGGTTCAAGTGGAACGTAGCGATGCTTTCCTATAGAGGGTAAGAGATAACCATAAGGAAGAGTAAGGCTATCATGAGAACATACGAGGAGAGTGTGAATCCTTGCTGAGTTTTGCCTGGTTCTTTGCAGCTATGGTCTAAGTGAAGGCAGTCCGAATGAAGAAGGAATGCGTATAGATGCTCAGGTGAGTACACAACGTACATGATAGTTATAGGCTATCGCTGTTGGAATAAAGGCATTAATCACATTTAATTTTTCAAGACGATGCTAGACTATGTGAAAAACGACGATATTCTTAAAGATACTAGAATTATAGCGTTTGGTCAGTCTATTGGCGGAGCTGTCGCAATTGATCTAGTCTCTCGTAATGAAGATAAGGCATGTTTGAAAAAAAAAAAAATCATTATTCGTTTGTTTTTTTCTAAATGAGCTTGATGATAGCCGGCGAGTTGGTTGTTTACATAATTCTTTTCGTAGGTCCACGCACTGATCATAGAGAACACATTCCTGAGTATTGTAAGTAAGAACCAAAGATCGATGGCTATTATTGCTACAATAAGACCTTGAATGGACTAATTCCAATTCTAATCTGTTTAAAACAGCCAAAAATGATACCAGTAGTTTTTCCGCATCTCCGCTACTTTTCTTGTCTTTGTCATCAAGTCTGGTCATCCGAAACGGCAATAACGAAAATTAAATATGTCCCAATCTTGTTTCTATCCGGTTCACGAGACGGCCTTGTCCCGCCTCAACATATGAAGACTTTATACGAGCTAGCGCAGACCCGCAAACGGTGGAGACCGTTTCTGCGCGGAGAACACAACGATACAGCATTCCAACCTGGTTATTATGACACGATAGAAGATTTTGCAGAAACATTTTGTAACATTATAATTGAACGGGATGAAAAGGAAAATGTGGTTGAAAAGATTGCAAGGATGAAAGAGTTTATTGAGATGACATAATAGACAATATAGTGTGATTTCTTCCATTTTTGATTTCTTGTGCTTTTGATTTAATCTACAACAGTTCGAACTTGGTGCATCTCAATTGTATCCGATGCTGCCTAAGCAGAAAACTCTTTTTTGTAATCAAGGATAAACTGTTCTAGTGTTCTTGGTGTGATCCCATCGATTTCCGTGAAGTGAGGGCTTACGTATTCTAATCGACCTACGAATAGAAATGAGGTTAATACCATCGGTATCATACCACAAAAGACAACTTATTATGAAGCTGACTATATTCAAAAGTTTACCCTTTTTAATTAATTCAAACAAAGTGATAACGTTTGTTCTAATGACGTCATTCGGAATGTACTTTTTCAAACACTTTTCTTCCACGTAAGCCATCTCAGACGGTACATACTTTACTTCATGCTTAAGAATGGCCGATAGCCGAGAAGCCAGTAGCTTACCACTGAAAAGCTCACTACCTGTTACAGTATATACGTGAGAATAATAGTTCTCGGATTTGTCGAGTATATTGGCCGAAACACAACCGATCTAAAGTAATCATGAGGCGACAGAACTATGAATATAAGAAAGGAAACCAGACTGGTGAAACTAACAGAGGGACGTTACTTACATCCTCGATTGAGACGGGAGCAAACTTATATTGAAGCATATTGGGGAGAGAAAAGAAGTCATATTTAGTATGAATAGACAGAATGTGACGCAAATGTTGACATCAAAGTGTCGGCTATTTGTGAAACTTCGATTAACTTATATCATGCAAACTAATCGCGCTAACCACACGTGATCTCGAGACAATTTCCACATACCTTCCCATCCCCAATGGGCAATTCCAAAACTCCCCTCTTAATCCCATCCTTGAAGGCAAACAAGTAATGGCTATAAACACCAACGCGTAAAATACACCACCAAGCATGATGATGCAATTTCTTATGTTCCTTTGGCGACCTTGCTTTTGCGTTTTCTTCCAACGGTAGACATGCCTTTTTCCCAAACAGCTCTGTAAGCTTGTTTTCCGCATACAGATGCTTTTTACCTTGCTCACCCCGTCCATCAGCAATTATTACGCTTTGAAGCAACACGAACTGAACCGAAGCTTTCTTAGCCGCCTCGATATACGGAATCAGGAAATCTAGCCGTTCGGGGGAGGCAACGATATAAAGTTTGGTACAGCCTTCAAACGATACATTGCGTGGATCGGTGATGGTGACGATTTTACAGGATAACCCTCGGAGGGCAGCCAAGGCCTCCTTGGATGCACGTTCGGTCACAAGAGCAGTTACATCCATATGGCGGTTTGAATGATGGGATCCGGTACTATAGAGAGCCCTAATTGTTGATAAAGCGGTTGGACGGTCAGCTTCTAGGACAAAAATGTTACTTTTGGTCATTTTGGTACGTTACGCTGCAGTAAATCGGACATTGAAATTATATACACATCTTTCTGTTCAATTCACGGTGATATCATAAAACATCATTTGTATGTAATGTTATTTTTATCGTGAATACAAACGCGATGTCGATCAACCATGGTATGTTGATCGCTTGTTATTCTCCCTCGATCACATGAAATGTAAATACACAGAATGTTCACAATTTCCGATACAGTCGAAATTTATCACGTGGAGATCGCTCTACAAAATGCAAATGTGACACAGTATTTTATGTCTCTAGACTTGGATCAATAGCAAATGTTAGTTCAACAGGACACGCGTTCTTCTACAAGATGTAAATCAAACCCGTTTACAGAATTGTTTGTCTTTCGTTTCAGAAATGCACCCTTTGTGTTCATGAAAGTGAATGAATATGGAATTGAGACGGCGGATTTTGAAAACGAAAAAGGGAAAGCGTTGGATTGGTGTAGGGACTATTTTGGAGAAAGAAGTGAGCCGAGGAACAGTGAAATATATAAAAAGGAGAGAATAAGAATGCAAGAAGTGTTTAGGGAGCTTAAGTTTAATAGGCTTGCCGATATTGATGAGGTGGTGGCTGAAGACAGTGGGGAGAGTTCAGGTGAGTTTGGAAAGTTGGATGGGAAGCTGTATTCTTTGATTGTCTTTTCTGGATATAGGTTGGCCATAGCAATGAATGGTGTTCAAATCATACATACCATATAGAATGTATATACCTTACTAAGTTTTTTTTATGTATAGATGAAACATCATTTCAACTGGTAATAAAAGGGAGCCTTCTACTCGCTCTCCGATCAAAGGACATTAACGATAAAAGAATGTTTTATAATTCATTGAAATTTTTCTGTGACATCAAACAGAAGGCTATTCGGGGTAAGTATCCATACTATTTACTGACGACAATTGTTTTGGACGTTGATGACTAGCTTACTATTATTAAGCAGATAGCCCGAGTAAAGCTGTTGATGAAATGATGAAGTCTGAAACCGTGGGATACAATAGCGAAGGTGAAGACGATAATGAGTATGAGAATGAGAAAGATGACGATCACAAGTAAGCGCTGTTTACTTGGGCAGAACAATGTGACTATTATGATTTGATGGGTGACTAACTTTATTCAGAAGGGCAGATGATTTAATAGAAGATCTAGTTAATAAATGTAAACGTCATGAAGAGGATATCTGTGCTTTACAAGTAAGTTGCAGATATAGGTAATTTATCAGATGGTTTTTCGTTATATTGACTATGCTGCTGCAAATGGCTTTACAGGACACGATAGACCAAAGGACAAAGGAATTTAAATCATACATAACAAAGTTTCGAGAGTTAGACCGAGAAACAAAGGTAGATACCTTCTTTGCAAGAACATATATTCCCCAGTTCACCGGCTTGTTTCAATATTCAAACATTACTTTATTATTCATTCTCAACTGCACAGGATCTAGCCGAATCACTCTTGCTGTCACGTACTCGCTCTGTTGAAAGTACGAGCACAGCATTTGAAAATGCCGATCGAATAAGCGCAAACATGTCAACCAAGCTTAAGGATTTACAGCTAAGAATTGAAACCGGGAAAACTACATTGCAAAAGCGCCAACAATCGGTAAGTTTAACGGCTTTGTAATAATGTAGTAGAAACATATACTGATTATGTTTCTTTCATGGTCGGCAGCTGGGGGCTATGCAGAAAGAAGTGGAGAAGAGAAAGAAGAAGGCTAAAGATCTTGCTATGTACAAAATGATATTGGGTGGTAAGTGAGATGAATCACGTTTGGTGGGGGAAGAGGGTTGATGAAGAAGATTTTACTGTCTAATTGGTCAACTTCTCCACGCGCTGATTATCGGTTGCAAACTAATTTTTTGTTTATTATTCATTTAGCCTTTTCGGTTGTTTGCACATCCTTTGTATTTTTATTTTTAATTATTAGCAACTGAATAATAACTGCAAACCTAAAAGGGAATTTGCGCTTGCAAACAAACAAACAAACAAAAACAACTTCCTTTGAATACTTCAATCGAGCTCAAAATGGGTCAATTCCTTTCTTGCTTCAGTCAACTCCCTCCTTAAGCGATCCATCTCGTTAAATCATTCAATTGTCCTATATTGTCCCAATGCGTATTCTGGAGAGTGCAAAAATCGTGCTGTTGTTGGATCCTTTACATCTAAACGGATCAATCTCCCTTAGTTATCGGAACCAATCTTCTTTCATTATCGAAGTTCATCCTTTACATTCTAGATGGAATCAATATCCTTCTATTATCGACTCAAAACGGGGAAAGCCGACGCGTTGCATATCAAAATTTCCTGATAAACCCAAAGCGTTCTTGACCATTGTCTTTTTATATGGACAATCGTAGATGCCGTAGCTAGGAGCACATGGTCACATATTATATCGATCATCGTCCAAATCGAAATTATTTTCGTCAAGATCAAAATCAAATTTATTTGAATTATAATTAAAACCTAGTTATTAAACTGCAATCTATATTTTGGTTGTTATAGCCGAAGGCTGGTCATTGTGATTTTAAATGGATTTATGGGTAAACGGCGAGAGCTTATTATTTTTAATAGATAATGTGAAGATAAAGAGATGTAAATAATGAGTGGGAAATATTAATATTGTAAATATAATTCGTGAAACAACCAGATGTGGAATTTGATAAATTCTAGACAATAAAATTTCTGGTCCAAATCGAAATTAACCCTAACCCTACATTTAAATGGATTTATGGGTAAACGGCGAAAGTTTAATAGATAATGTGAAGACGAAGAGATGGAAGGAATATAACTCGTGAAACAACCAGATGTGGAATTTGGAATAAAATTTCTGGTCCAAATCGAAATTAAAATTTAAATAGATTTATGGGTAAACGGCGAGAGCTTATAGATAATGTGAAGACGAAGAGATGGAAGTAATATAATTCGTAACAACCAGATGTGGAATTTGGGGGAATCAAGTAGCGTATTTATAATAAATTCTAAAAGAGAATCTGCGCAAAGGCTGTTTTACGTCCTGGAGGTGTTGTCGAAAAACGTGTCGCTAGGGTTTTTAGCATCTCTCGTGGGGGAGCCTTTTCTGCTTCTACTTCTTGTTGTTGGCATAGTAACAATGGTAAGCGAAGGAGGTCTCGGAATAATGTTCGTGTGTCGATGTAAATGCGTCGGCCTTAGTAATACCGTCCTTAAATTTATCTGTAAGTTCCGACAGCTTAGAACGGGTAAAGTTCATTGTTGTATGTCTAAAGCGCGATATGTAAACGCAACGTCGGTGTCCTAATTACTTCCTACACTCCTATGTTCGTGTAGTTGCCCATCTTGACCGTAGCTCGTGGTAAACTCGACGATAAAAACATCGTGAATATCGTAAGCAATTATTTGGCGGGATATTAACGAGCGCCCGGTTATGTAATGTGTACTATTTAGCAATAGCACTTCCAGGTTTACCGATTCTGACAGAAGGGGACAATGTACAAGTTAAATTAGACATGTGCAAAAAACGCTGTCCCAATAGCAATGTTGGTCTGCTCTTTTCAAAGGCATATATGTGTATTCTGAGGTGGTATGTGAATCCCTGTTCTCTAAGTTTGTAGTTTGGAAGCAAAGCTCTCTCGTCCATTCAACCGAGTTTTAAGAGTGAAAAAAAAAATTAAAAATCATGACACGTGATGTTAACCCCTGAAATCTTCTGGGAAGCCTTGCTCATTTTTCCAACATCCGTACATTCACCACTAGGACACTTAATAATCATGGTAGACACTAAAAGTCGGTTTCCATATCCACCAAAGAAAAGACCACAGAATCCAAGAGAAGCCCAAGCACTATATGAAAGCATTAGGACTATGGCATTATGGTAAGGTGTAAGTTGCTGAGGCATACATAAAACTTGATAAAATATAGTCTTTCGCATGCTGCATTAATTAATCTTTGTTGGTTTCTAGGCTAGATTCCATTCCATATATTCCTTTTCCTATTGGAATAGATGCTATCATTGGGGTGATTCCTGGAGTGGGTAAGTAATTTCATGGTTTATTTCTGTCATTATAGAGTTTCTGTCGTGTTCAGCATTACAAAGTTATCAAGCCGTTAAAGTATATTGTCTTCTGCGATTTAAAGGCGATCTGGCCGGTTTCTTCCTTGGTTGTTACCAAATACACTTGATAAGTTTCTTCCCTAACTTTCCTCAGATTCTACTCGCAAAGATGATAGGACTTGTAATAGTCGACGCTTTTGTTGGACTCATTCCCTGGATTGGTGAGTGAAATTGTTCAATGGGCCTAGATAAATTGTCCAAATACTGACAGCATTTTTTATAGGTGATGCATTGGATCTTCTGTTTAAAGCCAATATACAAAACCTATTCATGCTCGAAAAATGGTTAGAAGAGAAATATGGAGACGATATTTGTATATATGATAGTGTAACTCATGAGCCCATGAAACCAAAAAATGACCCACCACAGACACGAAAATCACGGAACAAACGTGAATAATACAAATAGAATGAGCAGTCGATGTATGAATTCAAATCGTCATTGAGTGAACGATAGAATCCATTAAATTATCAACAATCCTATTAAATAGAGCAGATTGAATGACAGTTGACGAATGGGGGATGACAATGGCCCAAAAGAAAGTCGATGTTGAACAATACAAGCATACAATCATTTTAGTACATGCGCGAGTAGTATGAAAGTTGAAGAAATGTGTTAGAAAGACTATAGACAACTTATTGAGAAAGTCAGTGATGGCGCAAAAAAAGGGGAGTCACATGACAATCATCGCATCAGCCTTAATATTTATTGGCTAAAAAGTTCGTAGCTTGCAGCAGACAACATGGTGGCTTGGCTGCCTAAAATGAAAAACAAACCTCCGCACGCGAAATATATCTGTCTTCATTCTTTGATCTCTTGTTAACACACACGTTATTCCGTTGTTTTCGCCGTTCACTGACGGCTTCGGTAACAGCATGTTATTAAATTTGGTAAATTCTTCCTTTCTTTCCCTGCCTTTGACACTTTAAAACTTGCGCCGGAATACTGGTTCGGTTATTAATCGTCACATTGTCTGGACATAAAGTACATCAATATTTCAAGCGCAAGACCGTGGATTGGAACGTCCTAGGGTTTTAGTTGCATGCAAACTAGAACTATTCGATCGGAAAATATAATGTTACATTTTGTGCCTCGAGGCCGTCATTTCGCGCGAAAAAGGCCGTCGTCGTGAAGACCCAGCTCTGGTATATCGGCGGATGGTGGTTTTGACTATGTTACTAGTTTTGACTATGATGATGCAATTGCTCATATGGTGCAAGTCGTCTATACCCGACAATCACGTGATGAAAAATAAAGCATTTTTAAAAGTCTTTCAACTTCTTACACAGATGAGATATCAAAAATCTGACTGGTAACTTTGTTCTTCATAACAAGCTCTACAAAGTTACCGGTTAGATTTTTGATTGGATTTTTTTGTGAAAAGTTTTAGGTACACAGTGACTCTATAGTGTATCAAAAAAATCTACTAGTAAAAAATTCTCAAAAATACATATATCGAGAGTTTTTGAAAATTTATTAGTAAATACACTATATCGAATAGCATTCATTATAGATGGTTTGAACTTTATCCACTATATCGCGATTTTAATTGGTCTCCACTATAAAGGAGGCACACTATAAAGAGAGCCACTGTGTACTTAAAGTTCTTGTGTTAATTCAACCACGTGATCATATGAGTAGCATATAATTGGTTAGAATTGGTAGATCGAACTAAATATATTATTATTGTAGCTTTTCGAAGAACGATTTGCTTATCATACTGTTGCGGTCGGTGTATTATTTGGGTGGGAGAGCCAATGATCTGTCGCGTAGGTGTGTTCACCGACAGGGGGATGTTACCAAATTTAACTCAGATCGCTCGTCCGATTATATTATCCTGTGACGAGAAAATAGTCACGGATATAAAAAACATTGTCAAAGGTAACCTCGCTATTTTGGTTTGTCGTCGTGATAAAGCGCCGATGTTACGTGACTTCTATTTTTTTGAAAATTTGGTGGCGCGACAGAAGTTCCGAGCTCAACTGTCATTCAAGGCTCCGAGCTGATCTGGCACCAATCCTGGCGGTGGCCTCCGAGGTTTGCCTGACGTTCAAGGCTCCGAGCTGACCTGGCAGGGTTACCACCATATACTAATACGGGCTATAATTCAAATGAAACCCCCGGAAAAGATGTGTTTTTCAATGCTATTGCGCTTAGATATGGTCACACTGAGATTGAAACGAGCCATTTGAGCGATAAAACTTATGTCACTGATTCCTTTGTAATATGGCTTTGTTATTTCAATTAACTATGCCCAAACTGAATCCTCTGTATCCCTCTAACACTGGCTTATTCTCTTATTCTCCAGTGACTCATACAGCATATTAATTATCAATGGTGAAATTCTTTCCGAACTTCCATTGTCTCAGACAGTAAGACTAGATCTTTTGCTTTGGGTCGGTTTAGCTCCTATTCTTCGATCAATGGCCAGTCAACAGACAAGAAGAGTTGATGCATCAGTGTCAGATGAAATGAAGACATGGACTGGTGTAAATAAGCTAAAGTACGAGGTTGCGGCATTTGATGTTTCGAGAGGCAGTCCGGCTGATATATTGTAGAATGAATCAGATACTAATAAGAGTCGATGGCATATCTGACATTAATATTGTTTAGGAACATACTAATCTGAACCTTCATATTCCATCGCCAAATCTTCATGTTGTAATTGTTACGACGAGTCGGCAGTCGAGCAAGTCAGGTGATAAAATCTTCCTCCGCAGTCAAAATACTACCCGCAGCGATCTAATTTTAACACTATCACACTAAAGTTCAAATGTAGTAATTTTCCGTCACGGAAATTGGTGACAGTACAAGATACAAACAATAGCTAAACTTAGTAATTCTCCGTCACTGAAACTGGTGACAGTACAAAATATAATCAACAACCAGATATAGTAATTTCCCGTCACTGATTTTGGTGACAGAAGTCTTATATAAGTAGCGCTTCTCTCATCATCAAAACCTCATGTTGTTAGTTTGTTCGGTTCAATACATTGTTTGAATAATTGATCTAATAATCCACGGATTTGTTCTTATCCAAGGAAATAAAATTATTGCGAATTTCTTTTGATACTTAAGCATATACTATCCATATTTTATTGTCTTTCTATTAATCGACGTTGAATATTGATACTTGCCGGGTTGAAGTCTGAGATAGCTTGCTTACAGACTATTCGCAGATGCTTCGGTTAGCGATATACCCGTTGAGCAAGATACACCTTATAAAGAGTGCACGCAAGTCGTATTAATATTCGATATTGATTCTCCCGTTAATCGTTTAATTAATTACCGTTATAATTAGATACCCGACTAGTCAAAACACTAAATCGAAGTCCGCCCTGTTTAAATTAAATATAAATTATTCCCCTTCGATTCTGTAGCAATATTGTAGTTGTAACGATATTGTTATAGGTACCCCTTATTTAGAAACGAGTCTAGTTATACTTCGTTTAGGGAGTTGGTTAAGCGCGCATAATTAATTATAGTCACTTATAAGTTTAATTCAGTCGTAAAGACAATCGCTATTAGTAAGGGTAGCGATATTTGGTAACATCTCCCTGTCGGTGAACACACCTACGCGACAGATCATTGGCTCTCCCACCCAAAGAATACACCGACCGCAAGATTTAGTCAACCCCAAGTACAGCCACAACCCGCAGTTGCACCACCAGTTCAACCGCAACCCGTAGCTTCCAATCCAGTACCAAATCCAATAACAAATGCCAATGGCTCGCAGCGCAGATTATCCCATTTTTGATGGATCCAGACCAGCCACATGGGTCCAAACAATGGAAACAGCATTCAATGTGAATGAAGTAACCGCTAATCATCAGAAAGTCAATATTGCCGCAGCACATTTAGGCAAATTTGTGGATTGGTTTGCTAATCAGGCAGCGTTTACCCATTGGACCGGAGGAAATGATTCTGCTCAAGATCGAAACTTCAAAGAAATCTTTTTAGAGCATTTCCAAGGACCTAAAGAAAGCGCGTTGGCGCAAATGTGGAAAAGGAAACACCGCCCTAGAGAAACCATTCTTGAATATGCCAATGAACTTGAACGAATTTGGAAAGCCACTGGGATTGTAATACCACCCGAAATTCAAATGAGCCAATTTATTGCTGGTTTAGATTCGTCTATCCAAAATCACGTGAAAGCTCAGAATCCGCAAAATCTAGGTGAAGCGATCGCGGCAAGTAAACGAGTATATCATGGCCCTAGTCATGCGTCATACCTAGCTATGGAAGATCCAATGTACACAGGATTGTTAGCTCAAGTAGCGGAAATGAAAAAAGAAGTCGAGGACCTAAGAAAACTGAATAACGCGAACAAATCAGAAAATCAAGCGATACAACGCGAACGGTCGACTAGAGTAATGCAAAACGTACGCTGCTCGAATTGCGGAAAAATGGGACATAATGAAGAAGCATGCTGGTTTAAAAATAAGAAAAGAATACAGTGTTTTAATTGTAAGGGATATGGACATATGCAGAAAGATTGTTGGACCAAGGCACGAAAAGCTACCCCGTCGGGAAAAGGGAGGAGACGCCCTTAAAGGGCAAAGGCGTCCACAAAACCTAAAAGAGCCTCTAATGCCGCGTAGCAATATGGCGCATCTGATGATGAAGGACTAATCTGTTGCAAAGCATACGTGAAGGGAGAGGAAGTCGTTGCTCTAGTTGATACTGGATCAGCGCTTACTCTAGTCTCAAAAGCTTGCTATGATAGGCTTGCACACAAATTAGTAGAAATTGCGAAGGCCGAATCGAAAACGTACCAATAAAGTTCAGTAAAAAGGAATGCAAACTCAATGCGGATATAATACACCATCCAACGATAGATATGGTATTAGGACAGAACTTTCTGACGAAAGTTTTAAAAGCAACCCCAGATTTACCGAAGCTTCAATGATTTTGAGCAGTGGTGAAGTCATTCAATTAGAAGGTTGATATTCGTAATATACAACAAAAGTTATTGTGAATCCATCGTTCGAGAGTGGCAGTTTTATTGATTAGATGTCAATTACACAATATTTGGAATATTCTGACTCAATAAAAACTCTCTGAATATCCAAAGAATATTTTTTGGAAAACGTTGCGGAGCAAATCATTTGGATTTTTCCAATGACTTTATTATCATTAATTAAGCCATTAGGGCTCCTTTTATATTTTCAATGAGAAAAGGAACGCCTATATAGGAAACCATAACGAACGATTAGTTTATGCCTGATGGCAAAGACTAATACTAAGAAGAAAACCCAGTGGAACAAACATGTATCAAATGGACGTGTTGTAAATAGCCGATTTTGCTATTTACTACGCAATTGTTTAATTAGTCAAAAATTCACTCCCATGTATTTTAGAGTTGGTGAAACGCATGTATTCTGCGGCGCTTTTGTATAACTTAGATTC